AAAAAAAAAGGTTTTTTCAATAGTAAATTCAAAAGTAAAAGGATTAAAAAGGGTATTTAACCTTAAAAAAATTATGAATTTCAGTAAAAACTAGAATCTATGAGTCTAATTTTGACTCTTGTGAGTTCCATAGTCAACTCTAAAAAACAAAGAGTCGACTCTCAAATTCCAGAAAGCAAGGAAACATTTTAGTGTAGACAAAGTCGACTCTCCATCGAAAGAATCGACTCTTGGCTGAAAGTTAATCTCACTTTTTTGGGGTATGGGTGCTCCTAAACTTTCAATAACAAAGAGTATGTTGTTGAAAGTCACTTTCAGCAACAAAGAGCATGTTGCTGAAAGTGAACCTCATTTTAGGTGGGAAATGGTTGCTGTGTGGTGACCGAAAAATGTTAGCAACAAGGGGCACGTTGTTGAAATTCACTTTCAACCAAGGTTTTTAAAACCGGATCGGATCGGCCGGTTGAATCGATCGGACCGGTACTCGGTGATGAAAATGGTTCGGTTTACATAAGAAAACCGTTTGATGTCAAAATCGGTCAAAATCGGTGAAAATCTATAAAAACCGATGAAAACCAGTAGAACCGATGGAACCGAAAAAACCACCGGTTCAATTTCTCATGCAATCTTCTTTCAATTTTTTCCAATTTCACCTTTCCAATTTCACCTTTCCCATTCCTTTCTTATACCCATTTTAACCTTTAATTTTAACAAAATTACAAAATTATCAGACACCAAATTAGAAAATCCCTACCTGCAACTTGCTCCTCTCATCAAATCTTCCTTGCTGTTTGGACCAATCGGTTCATCGGTTCAATCAGTTTAATCGGTTGAACCAAAAACCAAACCTAAAAACGGTTCAATGATCGGTCCGATTTTAAAAACCTTGCTTTCAACAACATACCCCTTGTTGCTGACTGAAAGTGAAAGTGGTGATGCTTCCCATGGTGGTTGGAGCCGGTGTGTATATATATATTATAACTTTGGCCAACGACCGGTTAAAGAATATCAACAACATGTTCCTTGTTGCTGATATTTGGTTGATAAAAAGATAAGAATAACATCAATAAAGTATATGTTGCTAATACTTAAGGTTTTCAGCAACATAGTTCTTGTTGCTGAAAGTGAATTTTAGCAACAAGGAACATGTTGCTGAAAAGTAGAGCTCAATTAACTCCCCAAGGATTCACTGGAAAATATCAGCAAGATGAAGTATGTTGCCAGCAACAAGAAGTATATTGCTGAAAGTGGGGCAGCTTTTTTAGGGTGAGGTGTACTGGAGGATTTTCATCAACATAGGGCTTGTTGCTGATACATATTTTCAACAACAAATAATCTCATATTGCTGATATATTGTTGCTAAAAGTCAAAATTTTAGTAGTGAAAGAAAAGGGATTGACCAAATAACTCTTAACATGAACAAATTAAATTGGGGATTAAGGTTTGTTTCTTCCATTCTTATTTGCTCGATTCAAGCTTTCTTGTTCTCCATTGCTTTTATCATTTTTACAGACATGGATAAAAATAAAAAGAAAAAAGAAAAAAAGATTTTTTTCTCTCTCCTCTCGCTCTGTTCTTCTTCCTCCCCACCTTTTAATCATCAGTTCTCTCTCATCTTCATTCTTCAACAGATCTACCATACCATCAAAACCCATTATTCAACTTTGGCAAAAAGAAGATCCACAATCCCCCAAGAATCCATCTCATAACCATTTCGACCTTAGCGTTGATTTGGCCGTGCTTGGCCGTACAATGCCGTCGTTAATTGACTTGATCCCGGTGCCACTGAGGACGAGAATTGGTCTTATTATTATTCCTGACATGGCGTCTCTTCTATTTGTGGGTTGTATTCTTTTCTATGTTTGATTTATTATTAATTTGGAATACTTAGTTTTATCTGTTTTCATGATGAGCAAAGGATGTTAGAAAACCAGAAGAGGGAACGGTCTTTTGCATTTTGTGGGTAAAAGAGGGGATTGAGGGAACTGAATCCTTCAATCAGTGTAAATTCAAGAAACAAGATCTTATAAAAATGCTTGCAATTTTGTAGGGGTAAAGTGGATTGAAGGAATCGATTTTGATGAAAATGCTTGTAATTTTTAATTTTTTTTAACAAATTTGTGGTCTCCTCATAACTTGGCTGAAAATTGAAATAAATGTGCTTTGAAAATAAATTCAAAGGGTGAAGGAGATTCATTTGATTTCTTAATGAGTTAGGATACACTTGTTTAAGAATATATGAAATTGAAGATTAAGTTTAGAATGACAAGATTTTGTACAGTACTCTTAAAAAAGAATGGAGAAGGAAATGATATATATGGTAAATTTAAATGTTGACTAAAGAATAATTTTAGAAATTACATAATTTTATATGGTTTTAAGCACAACCCACAGCCATGTCATTATAAAAATCGTCATGTCTTGCATGGCAAGTGACAAATAAGCTCATGTTAACGGGCAACACAAAGTTAGACGGAGACATGACGTTATCTTTAACAGAATGGTTTACTCACGAATTTTGTCAAGTAGAGGAGTTGATTTACAGTACTTTTAAGGAGAGTGGCTAACAAGCTACAACAAGCATAGCAAAGGGGTGAATTGGATCTCCCGCCTAAAAAGTTTGCTTCGTGGAAATCAAGACAAAATGAATTTTCCTACTTGTACTTTCTCAAACGATTCCAAACTGAGGAATGAAGGAAAGGATAACAAGAAGGGCCCAAAAAAGGGAAAGTAAAACAAGGAGGGCCCAAAAAAGGGAAAGGATAAAGGCATGAAAACGCAAAACTAACATACTTACAGATGGAATCGGTTGAATCTGATTAGCCACCATGCCTCCTTAGT